TCCATACTCTGCCATCCCTGTCACTGTCCACTGTGTTGTCAGCACCCTCATCCATTCCCCCCCTGTCTGCCCTTCTGGTAAATCTAGTCAGCCAGAGGTCCCTGTTCCAGGAGGGTCAGCTGTTCCTCATCTACGGCAATCCATTGTCAGTATTCCTTTGGATAGAATTGGGGCAAATTTTGACTACAAGAGTTGGCAGAGCAGGCCTCATTCCGTACACATACATACAATGGTGAATTCAGCTAATGTATGGAGAGAAGCCTGTATTAGTATTTCTAAGTTACACACTTAGGGTACAGTGTGGTTTTGTTGAGTTCATTTGTATATTGTGTTTTAGGGAAGGAGACTGAACTATGGGTAGGTTCTTGGCTCAGCCACAATGAGACAGAATCTCCCTGTAGCCCCAGCTGGCCTAGAACTTGCTCTGTAGACTAGGCTGGCCTCAGTCTTACAGAGATCCACCCGACTCTGCTTCCTGAGTGCTGAGATTAAAGCCATGTACCACCATGCCCGGCTATGCATTGGGTTCTTAAAGACTGTTTCATCTCCTGTTGGTTCAGCTAAATAAACTAGATTGTAGTAGTAATTCCTTATATGTGAGTAAATATATTCTGATGTAACACCAGGATCCAGGAAAATGGAAAGGATGCACAGAGGTAAAGGAAAAGAAAGAACCTGAGAGAGGGGTAGTAGGGGATTTTACCAGGGAGGAATGGGAAAAGTGGGAGTGTTTGGGAGGGAGGACAGGAGGGAGGGATGTGCAAGGGGCCACAGTGTTGTGGGGAGGGAAGTCATGGGGAAGGGTGGTGGGAGGTGGATGTTATTGGGACGAGGGTGGGGATGGATAATGGTATTGCGACTAGGGAGGGAGGAGGGAGGCCGGATGGGAGGAAAAAGAGTAGAGATGAATGGATCTTGGGGGGCTAGGAAACCCAGGAAAAATATTAATTAAATAAAGATAATTTAATTCTTTGTGTTAGCATATATTTTTTAATATTTTATTTATTATTTTATGTGTATGAGTATATTGCCTGCATGTATGTAAGTGCACCCATGTCATGTGATGCCTGAGGAGGTCAGAAGAGGGCATCAGATCCTCTGGAACTGGAGTTAGGGAATGGTTGTTACCTGCCATGTGGATGCTAGCAATCAAACCTGGGTCCTCTGCAAGAGCAGCAAGTGTTCTTAACCACTGAACCATCTCTCCAGCACCTGGTATTAGCATATTTTATAATACCCCTTTAACTGGATCTCAACTGACAGGTACAATAGTACCACGTACCATATAGGTTAGATCTCCCTTTACTTGGAACACATTTTTCCAGGGAGATAATATCCATTGGGATTAGACTTCTAAGAAAGCCCAGTAAACCTCTCAAATTTATAATACACATACTGAATGTCTATGGTTGATGATAGACAAATGAGAAGGAAAACATTTTTATCCCTTATTATCTATATGAGGTTATACCACAGGTTTTTTCTAAAGGACAAATCTGTATGTTTTCCTTTTCATGTCCTTCTTATATGACTTAAGGTTTCAGGATGTTATAAATTCCCAAAACTAATATCAAGGAGCAAATATTTGTTGTTTGGTTTTTTGTGTTTTTATTTTTTTCCAATTTCCAACGAATGTACTGGTTATAGGCTGAATTGCTTTCCCTAAAAGTCCATATGTTGAAATCCTAATCCCTAAACTTCTAAATGACTGCAGTTGGAAATAGGGGTTCTAAAAAGGAGGAATAAGGTTAAAGAAGGTTAGAAAAGACTGATCTAATATGACCGATATCCTTACAAGGAGAAAAGATTTGGACACAAACACAGAGAAAGACTGTGTGGTGATATAGAGAGAAGATGGCACCTAGAAGTCAACCAGAGAGGCCTGGAGCAAATTTTCCCTTATAGCTATCAGAAGGATCCAGCACAGCCAAGAGCTGTCTGGAAATGTGTGCTCTTTCCTTAATAATTTCCTTTCCTTCATTTCCTTTCTTTATATATGCAATTCCTGTTATTCAGATGACATGTGTCTAAGTAGATCACATCTTTTTCTAACCTGTTTTCTTTTTATGACAGTTATTTTTACCTGCTTTCTGGGATTTTTCTCAGAGTTCTTCCCACAGTATGTTTCATTTCTGTCATCCTATCTCAGTATTTTGAAGCTGAGTAGGGGAAAGGATCTCCATCATCTGTTATAGATTGACATGGTTTCTTTGTTTACATTATTATATCTGTGCTCTCCATTGTGCCTGGGTATTGGCCACTAAAGGATCCACTATCTTCTGATAAAAGTCTGTCTCCTTCTGTGCTGGAGTACTGCAGGGACATGTGGGGAGGTCCTCATCAATCCTCTATCTGTATCTCCTCCACCTCCAGGCTCCCTGCTACTCTAGAATCTGAGATCAATCTGCTCTGCAGTTTTCAAACCATACCCTCTGGTCTGATGTGTATCCTGTGTGTCTGGTTCCCTTCCCTCTCATTCTGTGGAGCCAGGGAAGGAGGTAAAGTAAACACATTTTCTCCTTCTGACTCTTTGATTTTACTCTGTTGATAAGTAATTAACATTGTTCATGTGCATTTGCTGTGCTGAACTGCATTCCCAGATCTCTCCTTCATTGTTTCCCGGGGTCTGTATGTCTTGGTATTTGGAGGCAGCAGTGAGGCCACAGGCATCTTAGATTTTTGCTCTAAAGGAAGCCTCACTCTCACTGTTGCTGACAAGCTGCCTTGCCCAGCTAGCATGGGCAGCACCCTTCTGTGGTACTCAGCTTCTCCTGTGTCCTCCTTCAGGTCAGCCCAGGGTCAGGAGGAGGTATATCACAGTAGGATGCAACAGCAGCAGGGCAATGAGAATAGGTTTCCAGACTTGCACTACCCAGTTCTGACTGAAAGGTGCAGTCATGAGGAGCCTTTCCAGTAAATCTTGGCAGTTTGTTGTTTATATCAACATAACTACAGCCCAAACAAAATGAGGATCCCATCTATACATCTCATTTTCTAGTTAGTTCTCTTCCCTTCCCCAAACTGTTATACTAATCTGTCACCAAGGATTTGTGCTTGAATTTCATATAAATGGAATCATGCAGTCTGTATTATTTTCTGGCTTTTGACTAATTTACAATTTATCTGGAGCTTTTCATGTCAACAGATTGTTCTCTTAATAACTTGTAGTTTATGAATTGCTCTCCCACGATTTATCAACTTTTCTGTTAATGATTGTCTGAATTGCTTACATATCTAGACTCTTAGGAATGTAACCATGAGCATTCTGTATAAGTGGAACATCTTCACTCCAGAAATCTGAAATCCAAAATGCTTTAATCTGAAACATTTTGACCTCTAGTATAAAATGACAAGTAATTTACGTACCTGAAAATTATAGAAAATTACATACCTGACCACATAATCAAACATAGATCACTAACACTTCTGTATTAAACTATCAGTAGGCCATGTGTATATTAAGATATGTATGAAACAGATGAATCGTGTGTTTAAACTTGGATACCATCCTTAAGATAACTTATTTTGTATATGCAAATATTCCAAATTCTGAAAATATCTGAAATACTTCTTATGCCAAGCATTTCATGTAAGAGATACAAAATATGCATAAGACCTGTTTATTTGTTTGTTTGTTTGTTTGGTTGATTGGTATGTTTTATACCCTTGGATAGTTGGACAAGAGTATCACTAGGTGATAGAGTATATACATGATTAAGGTTTTTGTTTTTACTTTTGTTCTCAAGCTTTAGGACAATTTTATTGGGATCTAAGGAAAAATCCCTAGTCTTCAGGATAGGCAAGCTGTAAATCTCAGCAACTGTCTTGAGTAGGAAAATGGAGGGAGAAGAAAATAAAGTAATAAAGCTGTGTCAGTTTAGAGCTGACATGGAGGTCAGACATGTAACTGGCTAGCAGCTACTTGGTAAGGATGGAAGGGAGCTTTAGAGAAAAGGTAAAGAAATCCAAGATGGGGCAGCCCAAAGTGTTAGGGAAAAGCAGAAAACCTAAGCAAAGACATTAAAGATCTCTACAATGAAAATTTCAAATTTCTAAAGAAAGACATAGAGGAAGACACTAGGAAATGGAAAGACCTACCATGCTCAAGGATTGGTAGAATCAGTATTGTGAAAATGACCATCTTACCACTAGCAATTTATAGATTCAGTGCAATGCGAATCAAAATACCCAGGACATTCTTTACAGAGCTTCAAAAAAAATCCTAAAATTCCTACGGAATCACAAAAGACCCTGGATAGCTAAAGCAATCTTGGACCAAAAAAAAAAAAAACCCAAAACAAAACAAAAAAACACTGGGGAGATCACCATACTAGAGTTCATATTATATTACAGAGCTAAACCACATGACACTGGCACAAAAACAGACACGCAGATCAATGGAGCACAATAGAAGACCCAAACATGAGTACATGAAATTTCACCCACCTGATAATCGACAAAGGTGCCAAGAACATGCAATGGAGGAAAGACAGCATCTTAAATGGTGCTGGCCAAACTGGATCTCCACC